ACAGAGAGAGACAGAGAGAGACAGAGAGAGACAGAGAGAGACAGAAACAGAGACAGAGACAGAGAGACAGAGAAAGAAAAGACAGACAGAGTTCAAATGACAGACTGACCCCAGCATAAGAAGTTCCGGGTTCCATACATATACCAAATACGGTGATGCCTGCCTGTGATCCCATCACCCAGGAAGTGGAGGCAGGAGAAGAGAAGTTCAAACCATCCTCAACTACATCAGTTACTTGTCTTAAGTAGATTAAAAATAAAGTGAGCCAGGCAAAAAATGGCATTTTATTATGTATGTATGTCTTTATTTTCTCCTTTATATTTTGCATGTGTCTTGGAGTGGTGTGTACTGGTGTGTGTGTGTGTGTGTGTGTGTGTGTGTGTGTGTGTGTGTGTGTGTGTGTAGGCTCAAAACTGATCTTGATTAATACCCTCTTTATTTACTGAAGGGTCTCTTGCTGAACCTGGAGCTGGGGGTCAATTCTGACTAGTCTAGATAGGCAGCTCATCCCATGGCTCCCATCTCTGCCTCCTGAGTATTGGAATTAAAGGTGCCTGCCACACATGTCCAGTGAAAATGAACTCCAGACCTCACACTGGTAAATCAAAGGCTTTGACCATGAGCCACCTCCCCAATCCCCCAAGGCTGACATTTTAAGGAGAAAAAAAAATGAACACGACTTGGGGACCATTATTTCCGGGAGACAATGTGAGCCTCAGGGGTTCTGAAGTGGAGGAGGAGGCACAGGCTGTTCGGGTTGAGTCCATGTGAGACTGGAAGATGGAGCTTGTGGATGACCGTGTCAGAGACGCCACCTCAGCATGGGGAGTTGTTATCACCAGCGTGGTAGAGACCAGCTGGCCCCTGTCATCTGGGACCTTGACCTCTAGGTGTGTGCTTGCTCAGTGGAAGCCTGGAGCTGCCCAGGGCCTCACCCCCTGGAGGGTGACCTGCTCTCTGACTGCTGCTGTTTGGATTTATGTCCCCGGGTGTCCATGTCAGCGTGGCAGCGGACATCAGCGCTGCTCCGCTGGAGAATAAAGGTCATGCATGTACGTGCTCACTTCCAGATGAGCTGTGATTATACTCCGTCTCTGTGACTCACCTCAGCCCTTACTTACTCCGCCCAGTGAGCTATCTGCCTCTTGCCTTCAAATGTGACGTCACTTCATCCGCTTCACTTTTTACATCTTGGCGTGGCTTTAAAGATGATTTCTGTCTTGAAAAGGGTCCAAAAATTTTGGTGACCAAACTCTCAGATGATCCTTCAAAATGCATAGGGAGGCACACCCCTTCCCAAGTGTCAATTAATGTTTGTCACTGGGCCACAGTGATGAGTGCCTCCAGGTCAGTACTAGGGTGAGCAGAGGGCCAGAGGGTCCACGCACGGGCCATTGGTGAGACAATTCAACACACTGAACTCCAGCAGACGTCAAGGAGCAGAGCAGAGACTTTGGTGGCTCCGTCATTTTATTTTATTTTATTGCCATGCAAGGGATTGAACCTGGGGCCTTTTGAATGCTAGGCAAGCACTGGAGTTTGGTTTCTTAATCTAAGTTGAGTTAAATCTGGGCTAGAGGGGAGAAGAAAACAAATATAAGAGCGGCACCCTGCTGTCCGGCGCTGAGCAGCAGCTCACAGGAGAGGGCTGTAAATCTGAGGAGACCAGGCGCTTGTCCTGCAGTCGACTCACGTAACCTTTTCCACGAGGGAACGAGCTGCAGTTAAGAAGGCTGGAAAAGAAGACTCCCTTAAAATTCCTTGTTGTAAACACTCATCTCTGCAAGCACTTGTGGAGACTTTGCTGTGGTCTGGAGATGGCTAGAAGACGCTGTGTGTTCTTCGAGGTTCGCATGGTCCGGCTTCTAAGGTCGCCGGGAGCATCCGGAGTCATCTAGGGATGAGGGATGCAACCTCACAGAAACCGTCTTTCCAACAGGCACCCTGGTTGACAATGCTGAGTGTGTTTTCCCCTCGGAATATTGTGATTTCTCTTGAGCACCAAATGCTAGAGATATAAAATAATGGTTCTCATTCGCTTTTAGAGTCTCACGGTCCCAAGGCTAAAGAGATGGATCAGTGGTTGAGAGCTGTGGTTGCTCTTGCAGAGGTCCTGGTCAGTTCCCAGCACCTGCATGGTGCCTCACAGCCATCCTTAACTCCAGTTCTGGGGGAGCTGCTGTCCTCTTCTGACCTCTGGCCAGGCACACTTGCGGTGCACTGACACACAGAGGCAGCAAAACAATCATAAAATAAAACAAATCTAAAAAAAAATATGAAGTTGCATGGTTCCCATACCAAGTCACATGACTTGCTGTATCCCTGACCGTGACAATTCTGTGATGCAGTCTTAGCATCCCCATTTAAAAAAAAAAATTTAGAACATTTTATTTTTATTTATTTAAATTTTTAAAACACTTTATCTAAAGCAATACAATTCACATACTAAATAACATCACAATGGAATGATTTGATACAGATTTAAACAGAAGGAAAAAAGGGAACAATTTCAGACTATAAAACTTGGTGGAAGTAGAGATTAATGCGGCCAACTGGAAATCAGTTTGGAGATTCCTCAAGAAAATGGAAAATAGACCTGCCGTAGGATCCAGCTCTCTTCCTCCGGGATGTATACTTAAAGTGTTAGGACTGCCTGTAGAGACATTTGCACATCTGTGTTTATTGCTGCTTTATTTATGATAGCAGGGAAAGGCAAGCAGCCTGGATGTCCATCAGCAGGTGGTTGGCTAATGCAAATGTGACCATTATTCAGAAAAAAGAAATGGGAAATTTGCAAGAAAATGGGTAGACCTTGGGAGTATAATATCAAGCAAGGAGATACAAACTCAGAAAAAAGCTGAGCGTTTGGTCTCATACGTGGGTCCTAGCCTGTAGTGTACACGTGTGTGTGTGTGTGTGTGTGTGTGTGTGTGTGTGTGTGTGTGTGTTTTGTTTGTTTGTGTGTGTGTGTGTGTGTGTGTGTGTGTGTG